TAACAAAGTCTGTTGGAAAACCATACGGTCAAAAACCCATTCACTCTCGCCAGATTCTTTCCAAGCTACTATTTTGAAGGAGCATCCCAGGATTTTTCGTGCCAGCCGTGCTGACTCCGGTGGGGTTGGGTAGGGGCATCTGGAGATTGGGAAGGAGGGCCAAGGACACAGACACTTGCAGGTCAAAGAAAAGCCCGTGTTGGATCATCGAGCCACTCGGTCTTGTTTCCAGTGGTAGTGAGATGGTGGTGGGTTCCGTTGTCGCCCTCTCTTCCGGCTACCTGAGCGGGAGGTGGTTCAGCCCTTGGTTCGTCTGTATTCACTCATTCATTCGTCAAACATCTGTTGACTGCTTTGGGTAAGACTGAATTAGTTGGGAGTCATTCCAGCTGCGTAGACCAGAGAACCCCTAGTGACGACTGGCTTACAGAAGAGAGAAGTTCATGTCTCCCTGTTGTGAAACAGGCCCGGAGGGTGCTGGCCCCGGGCACCCACGCTCCTCCAGTGTCACCGTCATCCAGAGTCATCACCTCACGGCCCAGAATGGCTGCTCCACCCCAGCCCCCACGTCCACATTCCAGGCAGCAGGAAGGAGCAAGGGAAGGGGACCTGAATGCGGACCCACCCAGGGGACCCCCTCCACCTGGGCGCCAGCTGGCCAGTCCCGTTCACCTGTCCCGTCAGGCGCCCCGAACCCACAGCTCTCCTTCCCATGATAACCGGGCGATGGTCTGGAGGACTGTTTGGTGCACGGGTCTCGCTGGGCTGCGGTCTCCGTGAGGGCAGGGGGGGCCCCGGGGCAGGGACATCCCTTCCTGGGGGCTCTTCCTGCTTCTCAGACTGGGTCGGTTTCTGTGGCCGGTGGTGAACGGGGCTTCTAAGGGAAGACGGGCCAGCTCCCAGCGCACGGTGAAATCACGCTTTCTGCTTGATGTCCATTACTCTAATGGTGACCCATTTTGTCTGCCACACACTGGGCTGTCTTCAAGATGACAAGTTGACAATGACTCCCATCGGGTCATCGCTGAGCACACAGAGCCCATTATAATACTGGCTGTGGGATCCAGGACAGCTCGCGGCGGGGGGGGGGGGGGGGGGGGGGAGCAGGCGTCTGTCATCCCAGGGGCGTTGTCTCTTTGCTGAATGCCTCCGCGGGCCCGCGCCACGCCACCGCCCTGCTCTGTCTGCCGCCTTCCCCCGCCCACCGAAGTCTCCCGGGCCAGGGTCACCGGCCAGGGTCACCGGCCACCTTCCAGGACGTGGGCAGGACCCCCTCGCCCGGGATAAGGGAGGACACGGGGCGACCCCCAGGTGGTGTCGTGGCGAAAGCCCTCACGAACTTCAAGGAGGCACATTTGCTTCGAGCTCGTGTATCTAAATTACCCAGCGTTCGTTAAATGGAGTCACAGTACATGTGAAGCCTGCTCATGTTTGCTTATGATTTTTCTGAGACGCCTAGAAAAAGTGGCCACAGGACAGATACTTGGACGTTCTTGTTCCCAATCAGTTATGGGGTCCACGTGCCTCCCCCCCAGGTTGGGGCCCAGCCTCCCCGCCAGGCAGCTGCACCTGCGCCCTTGGTCCCTGGGCTCCGCCCCCAGGAAGGCGTGGGCGCTACCACACGGATACTAGGATAATCCGTCTGATGGCCCCGCCTAAGCGCCTCCCTTCACAAGGGTGAGAACACTGTCCCCCTCAGGGCCACCTTCTCCCCACTTTGCGACCTAGGTGCTGGCTCCCTGGTCAGGGCGCTCGGCCCCAACCTGCCTGTGGCCAGGTTTTCTTTAGGATCTAGGTGGACATAAGAGAGTCACGTGCTGTGGAGAGGGCGCCTCTTTACCTATTCACCTTGCAGCCACGATGCTGACTTAACGGCAAAAAGCCTCTTTATTTTTATTTTTATTTTTTTAATGTTTTTTATTTACTTCTAGGAGAGAGAAAGAGACAGCGTGAGCAGGAGAGGGTCAGAGAGAGAGGGAGTCACAGACTGAAACAGGCTCCAGGCTCTGAACTGGCAGTCAGCACAGAGCCCGACGCGGGGCTCGAACCCACGAACCGCGAGATCATGACCTGAGTGAAAGTTGGACGCTTAACCGACTAAGCCACCCAGGCGCCCCACAAAATGTCTCTTTAATAAAGACGCTCTTACCAGCAAAACTACCGTAAAGTTTCTGTTAAAGTAGAGAGGGGAGGGGTGCTCGGGTGGCTCAGTCGGCTAAGCATCTGACTCGATCTCAGCTCAAGTCTTGATCTCAGGGTCGTGAGTTCAGGCCCCACGTCGTGAGTTCAAGCCCCGAGTCGTGAGTTCAAGCTCCTTGCTGGGCTCTGCACTGGGCGTGGAGCCTACTTCAAAAATACATAAATAAAAGTGAGGTCCCAAAGGGAACAAAATGAGTACAGCCACCCAAACGAGAGCAGTGGGGGCCGAACCAAACGGTCCTCATTTTCCAGCCCGTGTCGGGATGGCCTTGGGGTCTTTCTTAATTAGTCCCAAGGACGCTGACTTACAGCTTCTGCTTCTTTAGCCACAGAGGCTCCTTGACAAAGTGAGCTGAGTTCAGAAGGGTACTCAACCCTCGCAGATGGCAGCGGGCACCTCACGCGGGAGACCGGAAGGAGGCAGAGATGGGCCAAGACAGCCGGGCACTGGGCTGCCCTTGCTCTCAGGAGAAAAGTGAGCGCTCCGCGGTGACAGCGCAGGTCCCTCCCCAAGCCGGTCTCCCCAACAGCACCCCTCTTCGCCTTCCAGCAGGCCAGGGCGGGCACTCGGCACGGCACCCGGGGCTAGGGCCCCGCTCCTTCCTTCCCAGCCAACTGGCCTTGACCCGAGTCCTCAGGGCCCCTGGGCCTTTCCGCGTCCAGGCGTCCAGGCAGAGACAAATGGCTCTCCCGCTGTGCCCGCGAAGGTTCAGAAGGCTGGCATGCAGGAGGCCTGCCGGGCGGCATCGTCATTCTCATCTGTCCTGGGTCTTGTTCGCTCCAGGGTCCCTGGTGACGTCAACCCACCTAATATCCGGCCTGGTGGGTGGGGAGGGGGTTGCAGCTTCCCGGTAAGGAACCGGGGCCGCCAGGCACCTACAGGCAGGGCTGCGGGGGCGGCCGCGGCTCAGGACTCCCACGGCCAGTGGTGTCCAGCCAGGTGGGAGGAGGAGCTCAGGGCCATCTTCACCTGGTGGCTTCTTCCTTCCTCAGAAGCCTGGAGGTGCCACTCTTGGATGTCCCTTGATGTCTGTGGGTAGGGGACAGTGTGGGCCTGGCCCAAACTCAGGAAGCCTTCACGGAGTGCGCCAAGGAGTGATGTCCTCGCAACCTGCCACGGGACAGCCTCTTCCTGCTGCTCTGCCCGCCTGACCACCGGCTGGCTGTCTCTAGGAGCCTGGGCTGCTCTCGCTCTGGGTCCCCCGGACCCCCGAGGGCTCAACCACCACCTGCCCCTGCTCAAAACAGCTCTGTGTCCTGGACCCGGGAGCCATGGGCATCAGCAGGGACCCTTTCTGAGACAGCAGTGTCTGGGATGCAGGGGTACCCATGGCAACCAGGCTGGGAGCCAACCCCCCCCCAGGAGACAGCCCCATTTCTCTGGCTGATTTGCCCCTTTTTAGCAAAACAGGGCAGAGGTCACTGGGCACCGGAGGCAGTGAAGCCACGCCCGCCCTCCCCCCACGAGTGGCTTCTGAGCCTGAACCCGCACTCCGCCCAGGGCACATGTCTGCAGGGGAGGGGTCCTGCTCCGTGCCCCGCCCCACCCCTCCCCCAGGACCACAAGACTGAGGGCTTGTCTCGGGGTTGGCTCGGGGGCACCCAGCCTCCTTCTTCTGCAGCAGGGGAATGCTGCGTGGATAGGGGGGGCTTCACTCCCCTGCTTAGACCTGGGTTGGGGGTAAGGAGGGGTGGGGCTCATCACCGCAGCAATGACCTGGGCCATGGGATGTTGGGAGCTCTCCCCTACGGATTTCGGGGGCTCCCTGCACGGGCTGATGGGGGCTCCCCATTCAGTACACGGGGGCTCTCAGACAGGTGACAGAGTCCCTCCCATGGTACAATGGCCCTGAGTGGGGTGATGGAAACTTGTGGGGTGACGGGGACTCTCTGCAAGGGTGATGAGGCTCTCTGCGGGGTGATGAGGCTCTCTGCAGGGGTGATGGGGGCTCTCTGCGGGGTGATGAGGCTCTCTGCAGGGGTGACGGGGGCTCTCTGCAGGGGTGACGGGGATTGGGGGTGAGGGGGGCTCTCTGCAGGGGTGATGGGGGCTCTCTGCGGGGGTGACGGGGGGCTCTCTGCAGGGGTGACGGGGGCTCTTTGCAGGGGTGACGGGGGGGGCTCTCTGCAGGGGTGATGGGGGCTCTTTGCAGGGGTGACGGAGGGGGCGCTCTCTGCAGGGGTGATGGGGACTCTCTGCGGGGGTGACAGGGGGCTCTCTGCAGGGGTGACGGGGGCTCTTTGCAGGGGTGACGGGGGGGGCTCTCTGCAGGGGTGATGAGGCTCTCTGAAGGGGTGATGGGGGCTCTCTGAAGGGGTGATGGGGGCTCTCTGCAGGGGTGATGGGGGCTCTTTTGGGGGGTGACGGGACTGGGGGGGAGGGGGGCTCTCTGTGGGGGGGATGGAGGCTCTCTGAAGGGGTGATGGGGGCTCTCTGCGGGGTGACAGTGGCCGTCCCGAGGGGTTTGGGGGCATTCCGCCGCCGCCGCACCTGCACCCATGCTACAGAACCGCTCGCAGCCTCCTCCGCAGGAGCCGCTACCGCCCCTCCCGCCCCCGGAGGGGGGAGCCCGCTGCCGGGGGACGCGGGAGGCGGGAACTGAGCCCCGTGACACGCGCGCGGCATAAATAGCGGCGGCAGCTCTGGGCGGCGGACACGTCGAGGGAGCCCAGCCGCCGCGCTTCCGCCCCGTGTCCGGAGGCCGCGCGATGCGGTGAGCGCCCCGGCTCTGCCAGACCCGACCGACCCGACCGGACGCCCGGACCCGCCGCCGGGACCCGCCGCCGCCGCCGCCGCCGCCGCCGCCGCCGCCCCGGGATCCCCGCCGCCGCCCAAGGTACCGCGCGCCCCGGGCGGGGGGCGGTGCGGCGGGAGGCGGGCCCCTCCCTGCGGCTCCTCCGCGCCCCTCCCTCCACGGGGCCCTCCCGAGGCCCCTCGCCCCTGCCAGCCCCCCACCCCCCGCGGCACTGGCGGCCCCGCCTCCGCCCGACGTGCGCCCCGCGCCCTCCCCGCAGATGCCCGGCGGCTGCGCGCTCCCGCTCGCCTGGCTGCTCCTCGCCGCGGCGCTTTCGGCCACCCCGGGGCTCGGGTCACCGGTGAGTGCGGGGCGCGCCCTCCCGCTTCGGGGCAGCGGGGGGGGGGGCGGCGGACAGCGGCCCAGGAGCGGACCCGCCGGCGTCCTGCAGCCCGGGGCCGGGGTCCCGCGGGGGCGCCCCCAGCTCCTCCGCGCGGGGCGCCTCTGCCGGCGCACAGCCAGCTCCCGGCAGCAAACCGGTAACATCTGGCGGCGCGGGACTCGGCCCGCAGACGAGCTGCCAGCAAACCTCCGTTCATTCCGTCCAGCAGGGGGCCGCCCACGCGTGCCCCCACCGCGTGTGTCCTCAAGGTGGCTTAGAAGCGAGTTGGGTGCACCGTGCGTTCGGGGCTGGTGGCTCTCGAGTGAATTATTCGGTAAAGCCAACCCCGTGTTCAGGTCGAATAGCGCATATTTGGGGGCAAAGCAGGATTTTCTTGCAGCCCGGGAAGGGTATGCCTTGTTCCGGTTCCTCCACCACGCGGGGAAAGCAGGGTGAGCTTCCTGGAGTGTGCGTCTTGCTTTGAGGGTTTAGGTCGCTTGACGTGACAGAGGGGAAAGCATGTGTTCTTGTAAATTCCGTGATCACCGAAGCTCAGGCAACAGCCCCCCATCGTGGGTTATGCAGCCGGAAGCTGCCTCGGGGGCCTCTCACAGCCCCTGCAGCGCCGGCCTGGCCATCTAACCCCCTTTTCTCCCGCCAAAGGTGAAGGAAAAGAGAGGCTGGACCCTGAACAGCGCTGGCTACCTCCTCGGTCCACGTAAGTGACAGCGAGCGCGGCCCCTCCAGTGCCGTCTGGAGCCACGTGTGCTGACCGTGCTCCTGAGGTCGGGGAGCCAGGAGCTGCTGTGACACACCCACTCTCCAGTCCCAGTCCACCGAGGGGAAGTGGGGGCTCCGTGAGGCTGGGACAGGACGGGCGTAAGGCGCAGCTGATACCAACAGTCGCCGCGTCCATAGTGGCGCCCTTTCCCGCCCTCTCCCGCTTGCTCCCCCGCATCCATCTCTCAGAACAAATAGGCAGATTCCTGGGGTCCTCTTACCCCATGTGCCCCTCCTCCTTGCCTTGCCCTTTCTTGAAACTTGACCCGGTCTGCGGCCTGAGGCCAGGCAGGCCCCTCCGCACCCCCCTCCCCTTGCCTCCTCCACAGCCCCTTCCCCTCAGGGCTGCCCTTGCCCCGCCCCCAGAACCTCATGGGGGGGGGGGGGGACCAGGGACCTGTGCGTCGCCAACCTCAGCCTTCCCAGCCTTCCTGCTCTGGACATGTGCCCAAGCACCGTTCCTTCTGGAAGTCTCTCCCTCCTTGCCTTCTTGCCCTGCTCCCCAGACATCGCTCGGGCTTCCCCAGATCTCAGCCCTTGAATGTGGACCTTCCCCCGGGGCTCTGTTCTGGGTCTTCTCCCGAGTCCCTGTGCCCCCCCCCAGACCCCCATCCCACCTCAGCATCACAAAGCACAGACTCTTTGGCACTCAAGCCCTCTCTCCGTTGTGTTTCTGGAAGCGCTGGATGACCCCAGGACAGTCGACACATGCTGGCCCCGTGCCCTGCTCCAAGCCTTTCAGCTCCCCATTCAGTACCCTCGCCTGCGGGCCCCCCAGCCCACTGGCATCACCAGGACCCCTTGCGGCGCCCTGCTCTCTGGGGACAGACGGTCAGCCATCCGTGCGCCACAGGGCAGGACTCGGTTTTCGCTGCCTGACCAAAATGCCCGTGTTGGGGGAGGGAGTGGCGAGCAGGAAGAGGCCTGCCACCTGTCAGCTGGTGGGGTCCGGTGACCCACGCGTGAAGGTCTCCCAGGGCGGGACTGGGGCCGGGGCTGGGGGGCAGGGGCTTGCGTCCGACCCCGTGGAGAGCCAGGAGGCGCCCACACCCCTCACCCCAGGCCATATGTGGAAACTGGTCAGCTGGTCCTGATGTTCCCCGAAGGGGCCCGCCAGCCAGGCCTCTGTAGCACTAGCACTTTCTCCGCTTTGAAAGCTCAAATCTCGGCGAGTGTGGGATGGGAGGGCACTTTCGCTGACTTGCAAGCGCCCAACAGGGTGCCAGGCCACCCTGAGCCTTCGCTCTGTGCCAGGAACCCACCAGCTAAAACGTGAGGCTGGGGCGGGGGGCGTGCATGCGTGTAGAACACACTAGAACTCTTCTAGTGTGTGGCTTCTCCTGCAGCCATCAATTCCCAGAACTTGCCAGGCCGTGAGCAGACTAATGTTAGGTGTCCTGTCCTTGATTTGATGCCGTCTGGACACAGTGTAACTGTGGACCGTTAAAAAAAAAAACAACCCAAAAACAAAACCACAAAACCCTCCCCTGTCTCCCCTATTTATTTACTGCATTCCGCAGCGAGAAAGGGGCAAACGGCTCCATCCCCACAGAGTAACGGGGAAGAACTCACAGGGTTTTAGCTCCTGACCCCCCCCTCCCCGCCCCTGCCGTGTACATACAGCCCTCCTGCTGCACGAGGCTCTCTGCTGGCCTGGGGGACACTTCTAGAAACACAGGCAGAGATGGGGGGGGGTTCACACAGGCAGCGTCTCTGGGAGCTGTGGTCTCCGGTCAAAGCCAAGGGCAGGTCCCCCACACGGTCCTGTCCCTGTAAGTGGATCGGCCCCGCCTGCAGGACGCAGATGGGCCCAGAGGGTTCACGTTTTCCCGAGCTCTGTGGGACCCTGAGCTCCGTCACCCAAGAGCATCCTGTCTCGGTGCTTCTGGCCCAGAAGAGAGGAGGGGCCCTTCACAGATCCTTGTTCAAGGTGCTTCGGAATGTTGAACATCTGTCCCTCAGGAAGGAAACACATAATGAAGGTTGTATGTCTGTTGGGCTGGGCCACCAGGAGCCAGACGTCCAGACCGGCTTGTGGGTGCGCCCCGTTCCTGCGGGTGTGGGGCGACCCCCGCCGCTGCTGCAGGGGGGAGGCGGGGGGAGGCGCTGGCCCTGTTCCAGGTGCCACTCGAGGGTCGCCCTGCTTCTTCCCGAGTGTCATGCCAGGACTTCCGGATGGACGGGCTCCGGCTCTGGAGGAAGGGGTTCGTTTTCTCCTGCCCGCCCGCACCCCCTCCTCGCCGCCCCTTCACCTCCGCAGCCTCAGCGCCCCAACTCAGGCGCCTCTCGCCCTGCTGGGCGCTGGGTCAGGGCCTCCTGGTCCCTTTCCCAGTTGCTCAGCGGATGGCTCTGCCTGCATCACGATTCCCTCATCTCACACCACTGAACACGCGTGTGCACGCACACTTAGCCCCCTCCTGCCGCCTCTGTCTGTCTCTGGCTGCCTGGCTCCAGTCCAGCTGCCACAGACGACTTGGAAAACTAAGCCTGTTTTCAGGGACATAGGACCCCTCCCCCGTGGTATCCCCGAGAGACACCCGGTTCAGGCGCCAGCGCCCCTGGGGCCCCCTGGACGCCCCCTCGCTCCCCTCCTGCCTGGGGGGGCTCCCCGCTCTGGCAGAGTCCCAGCACCTGGGGGACGTCCCTGCCTCCGGCCCTGGCATAAGCTCTTAGCGCCACAGAGAACGATCTTCCTGCTCCTGTGGCTTCCCCGTGTGGCTTTGTCTGGAGTGTGTGCTGATTACAAGCGGCCGGCGAGTCCTTCTCTGGGAGTGGGGCGTGCGGGCCATGTGGGCGATCCCGGTAACCGTGGCCGCCTGCTTTCCCCTCTGCTCGGAAACAGATGCTGTTGACAACCACAGGTCGTTTCAGGAGAAGCCCGGCCTCACCGGCAAACGGGAGCTCCCGCCCGAGGACGCAGGGATGCCAGGTGAGGGGCCGCCACCTCCCAGGGCTCGCAGGTCCTAGGCGCCAGGCCTCGGAGGAGTTTGGCCTTGACCTGGCTCTCCCCCCTCCAGATCCCCCTCCCTCCCCGCTGTGCTGAGCGAGGCCCCCTGTAGAGGGGCCAGTCCATTGACTTCCAGATGCCTGGCTCCTCTGCAGTGGGGAGGGGAGGCGCAGACCGCCGTGGGGCCGGGGTTCAGACGCGGATTCTTTCTGTTTTCCAGGAAGCTTCGCCCGGCCGCTGTCCGAGAACGCTGTTGTGCGCACCATCATCGAGTTTCTGACTTTCTTGCGTCTCAAAGGTATGTGAAATATTACCAATTAAAAAAAATTTTTTGTGTTTATTTATTTTTGAAAGAGAGAGAGAGCGCGCGAGCAGGGGAGGGGCAGAGAGAGAGGGAGACACAGAGAATCCGAGCTGTCAGCACAGAGCCCGACGCGGAGCTTGAACTCATGAACCGTGAGATCATGACCTGAGTCGAAGTCGTTCACTTCACCGACTGAGCCCCCCAGGCGCCCTGAAATGTTACCAATTTTAAAGGCCACCTCTTGGAACCCCGCACACATGAAAAGGATTCCGTAGAATTCTGGGACGTGAGCAGCCACCCACCTACATTCCTGTCACTGGTGTTGGCCGGGATTGCAAGGGGCCAGGATTGTGGCTGGTCCCAGCACTGTCCCCGGAGAGGCTCATCAGACCCTCAGTGGAAACCAGGGGAGAGAGAGGCCTCGGGTCCCCGTCACTCGGCTGGGGCCACACTTCTCACCAGCAACAACTGCTGTACGTTTCAGGGGCCGCCGCCCCTTGTAGGCCATCCTACCCCGTCCTGTGAGCCTGGTGAATGAGTTCACCCACGTTTCCGATTCCAGGTCTTTCTTTCTGCAGCCTTCCTGCGGGACAGGCTGCGCTTGCATCCAGTGGGCTCCACCTTCCACCTAGATCTGTCTTCCGGGGTCTCGACACACGACGAGGCCTCCCTGTGGGCCCGTTTCAGCCTCGCACGTCCGCCTTGTGTGGTCGTCCGGGCAACAGTGAGCAGTGACCGCCTCCGTCAGACAAGCACGGGGGGTCACGCTGCTGGCCGGAAGGCGCCAGGACAGAGGGCAGAGGTGGCAGTGCCCTGGGAGCGGGGCCCCGGGGACAGGGACTGGGGCAGCAGGGGAGGCGGTTGTCACATTCTGCACTTTACAGTTTTGTTGTGAGTTTGGCAAGAATTCTTCGGGACCCATTCCTGGGTGGTGGTTTGATCTGTGTGCTTCCGGGCTGCACAGGTGGCTGGGGTTGAAGGGGTTTGGGTGGGGGTGGGAGGGAGGCGGTCAGAGCCCCGCGGCTCCTTCCTGAAGACCGTCTGTGGGCAGGAAGACCGTGGGGGACAAGGCAATCTCAGAACCGCTAACCGCGTCCACTCCGCTGCGTCACAGCCCCAACCGGCCTGCGGGGGCGGGGGGGGGGGCTCTTCCAGCAAGGGGCAGACCCCCTCTTCCAACGACTTCTCCTTCTTTACTTGGCTCTGTTACGTTTCGAACTTTGTCACACAGAACTTCCCTAGGAGAAACCACTTTTTATTATCCCAGCAGGAATTACACTTCCTTAAAGCATGACTTTAAAAGTCTGACGGTTTCAAATGCATAATAGGTACGAGCCTTACATCCTTACAGGGTGAGATGTAGGAGCTGTGCGCCCGTCTCGGGTCTGATGCCCCCGGGGAAGGACCACAGTGGCTCTGGCGTGTTCGCTACGAGTGCTCACTCTCACCAAGGCAGGCGTTGGGGCTCCCCTAAGTGCACCCTTTCTTTGCAGAGGCCGGGGCCCTGGGGTTCCTGCCCGACCTCCCGCCTGCAGCCTCCGCAGAAGACGGGGAGCAGCCCTGAGGAAGCCCTCGAGAATGTCCCTGTGCGCGGCGTCGCTTCCGGACAAACTTGGACACGATGGAACGTGTTGTGGCGACTCCCGCAGGGCGGCCAGTCCTGTCCTCTCTGCTCCAATGCTGTGCCATTAGCGTTTCGTTGTTGTTAGGATCAGTTTCCCCCTTTGGTAATTATTTTGAGTGAGAATAAAAGATAGCAACTGCCTTCGATTGTCATTTCCTTCTATGTGTCTGTCTTGTCACCCTGGCACCACCGGGGCGGGGGTGGGGGTTAAAAGATAAGGTTTGCCTGTAACCCTGTGTGTCAGACAGAAGTTTCAAGCCCAGATGCTACCATCCAGAACATCTGTGAGACGCCGTCTCTTGTGACGAGGGACCGTGGCCAGGGAGCACCGAGTTGTCTCCATATTCAGCCGAGCCCAACGTAAAATACGCGGGCGGGTCTGTTACTGACACAAACCAAACCGCACCAACAGAACCCTGCCCGCAGGGAGCTGGTATCTGGGGAGATGGAAACAGAAAGCCCAAGGCACCGCTGACCATGGTGGGTGAGGGGATGCTCGTTGCTCGCGAGGGTCTGAGTGGTGAGGAGGAGGGAGACCCCGAAAGGCAGGGGCCGGGCCAGCTGGGGCCGACGGCGCAGCATTAAAACCCTGTGACCACGGGGCACCGGTCATAAAGGTCTCCACCGCCTGACGGGTCAGGAGACTCGTGCAGAGTTAGCGCTGTGGGAGGGACGCTGTGGGGCCCGCACTAACACAGCGCGGGGGCGGGAGGGACCCTGGGGCAGAAAAGAAAGATGGCACTGGAAGACCCGAGAGAAAGTGGGTGGAGACCCCAAGCCTTTGTTACCGTAAAGGGGAACTCAGGGCTCCTTCGCATGGGCGGGGAGGGGGGCGCAGGCGGCCCGCAGAGCACCGCACGCCGAGTCCAGAGGCCCACCCATCCTTGCCACTGCGCCGGTGACTGCCATCCACAGCCACGCGTGAGAATTTCCACTTAAAGACGTGCTTCCGGGCCCGTCATCCCAGCTCAGACCCGGGCTGGCCTCCCTCAGCTCAGGGCGGGAGCCCAGCCGGCCGGCCCACTACAGGCCGCATCCCCCCTCACTGCCCCCCCCCCCACACACACACATTCACTTCTCTCCTTCAGACTCTGGCGGGGCTTGTCAGAACCCAGGCGCCAGGCCCGTCTTCGGGGTGTCGATCCAGGAGGGCCGGGTGGGCTGTGATGGGGTCCCCTCCCCAAGGAACGCGGTGAGAAGAGGCCACAAGGTAAGGGAAGGCACCCTGGCTATGTGCGTAGGTGATGTCCCTCAGAACCCTGTAAGGAGGCCACCCCATCATGGTGCATGTCTATACGGTACTCATATACGGGAGAAAAGACGTAGAAAAGGCGTAAGAGGCTACACCACACAGCGGCGTTTGGGGCTCTATTTTTCGAGAACAAACCCTCTGAGCCGGTGCCGCCAGGAATAAAGTTGCTTCCTGGAAAGAAAAGCCTCAGGGTCACAGCTCCGTGGGAGAATCCTGCTACATTTCTTGGGAGCTTGTGTCCAGGACTCGGAGACGATGTGTTTCCGCCTCCTTTGCCACCAGGGCACGAAGCTCAGGGCGCCCGGACAGGCAACCTCACCTGGCGCCAGCGGACCAGACCACTTGATCCGCAGGAGACGAGCCCCCCCGGGGCGCCGGGGCGAGGACCCCAGGTGTGCGCAGGGGAGCCCGTGAGGCCCAGGAACCAGCTCAGGGAGCCGTGCCTGTCAGACCGGTAAGAACCCAGGTCCGTCTGTTCCGGAAGACCTGCCCCTAAGAGGCAGAAGGGGACCCCGATCACCTCCCAGAGTGGCCCGAGTGGTTCCATAAGGGATAAGGAACAAAGCCACAACTCTAAGGCACCGGGCGGCGGTTTGGAGTCACTGTGTGACTGTGTGTGGGGATGTCTCTCTCGGTCATTTCCTGGATCAGTGACTACCTAATCAGAGCCAACTGTCTCTGGTCGGTCTACCTCAGGATGGGGACTTTAAGGAACATTCCCAAGCACCTGCCGAAACTACCTGTATTTCGGGGAAATTCCGTGTCTTCTCCAGACTGACACGGACTGCCTAATTCCACTGGCGGAGAAAAAAACTAAACTGAAAACCTGGAGTCTGCTTCTCTGAGCTGACAAGATTTAAAACTGGGAATTCCCTTTCTCTGCCTTCGGCCAGCACCTCGCCTCTTCTCCCTTCTCCCCCCCGCACCTGGGGCGGGGGGGGGGCGGCCTGCGTAACTGTCTCCTCGATGCCTCCAGCACCAGCTCCTTCTCCCACCCTAGAGGTCATGGAGCAAAGACCACCCACTTCAGATTTCCCCACCAGTGTTCCAGGGAGAAATTAACCATGGGGAACAAACTGTCTTAAGGTGTCCCAAGTAAAACATATTCAGTGTTTATGCTAATTTAGGTTTGTGATGGACCTGTCTGTCAACATTAAATAAAAACTTTTATTCTACCTAGATTTGCCAAAGGTCAAATATGCTCATGTCATCTCTGTCTGATTTGTTAACTAAAGGAGGACTTAAAGTAATGGTTACCCTGGTCTGTCTCAGAGTTTTCATGGGTAATTGCTAAAATAGCTTTCAAAGTCTTTGGTAACCTGAAACATTAAAGTTTTGCTTGTATGATAAATTGGGATTGAATTCATTGGATATATAATGAGATAAGAGGCTAAAGCACTAATTACTAGATGTAGGTTTGTGCTTTTGACTTTTTGGCATAAAAGGACTATTTGGGTCTTACAAATGTGCTTCGTGCTTTATTAAGATTTTACTATGGAAAATCTGTTTTGTGCTTAATTGAGAAATTTACCTTCTTTAAGAAAATTCTGATGTGACAGAATTACAGTTCACAATTGTTATTACTTAGCTTTCACTGGAGACTAAGGTTCTAAGAGTTAAAATTCTGCTAAATGTGATTAAGACTGATGAGAATAAGGAAAGTAATTCTGTATGTAAAAATGTGGGAGATGTGTCAGAATGATATAAAAAATGAAAATACAGTTTTTAAATGTTTATTTTTGAAAGAGACAGAGTATGAGCGGGGGAGGGGCAGAGAGAGAGGGAGACACAGAATCTGAAGCAGCTCCAGGCTCTGAGCTGTCAGCGCAGAGCCCGATGCAGGGCTTGAATTTACAAACTGCGAGATCATGCCCTGAGCTGAAGTCGGATGCTTAACCGACTTCAGGCGCCCCTGAAAATACATTTTTTTGTTGAAGGTAAAAGAAAGTAATTTTGTCCTAAATGAGATGATTGTTTGGAGAAAAAGGGCTTAGGTCAAAATCTGAAAGCAAAAGAAAGTTGTAGGAGGTTTGTGAAGGGAAGTCTTCAGAAAGAAATTTTATATGTGGTCAGGATCCACTAAGGTTAAAACGAATGGATTTTAAAAGTACACTGGTGGGGCGCCTGGGTGGCTCAGTTGGTTAAGTATCCGACTTCGGCTCAGGTCGTGATCACACGGTTTGGGGGTTTGAGCCCAGCGTCGTGTTCTGTGCTGACAGCTCAGAGCCTAGAGCCTGTTTCAGATTCTATGTCTCCCACTCTCCCTGCCCCTCCCCTACTCGTGCTCTCTGTCTCAAAAATAAATAAAACAAAAAAAAATTTTTTTAATAAAATAAAAGTACACTGGTATAAGATTAAAATTCTGCTTTACTGTCTGTTAAAAAGGCAAAGTTTTCTTGGATTGTTGGTATGCTTTGATTTAAAAAAAAAAAGTTTAGACAAAGGTTTTTTTCTCCCTTTTGTCTGCCCAAAAAGATGGGGAAAAATATATATAATTATAACTAAAGGGCAGGACAGAAGGACTTGTTTTACTCCAGCCTTGGTTGAAATTGCACCTCCTTTGATCCGAAGTCTGAGGCGACGGTGACGATGTCCTCGCTGCCGGCCTCCAAATGCTCCAAGTCTGGGTTGGTTCTGTTGAGCACAGAAATGGAAGCCTGGGCCACATGAGGGACAGATGACTTCCATATATAAAGGGCTTTTACTGGGATACGTAGGGGCCATCTTGCCACACTTACCCCAGCGGATGCCAATCCGAAACCACCTAGGTACTCTAATATCGAGACCCACGTAGCGGGAACGTATTTCTGCGGGCACCGCTGAAAAAGGCAAGCTTGACTTTGGCCCTTTTAGCCCCTTGACGACCAATTTTATCCTCCCTAAAAAAAGTGGTTCTCACCAGCCTCTTAAAATATATTTGTAAAGAGGATTCCAGTTGGGTCAAAAACGAGTGCCTCCTTCTACAAGCAGGGAAGTCTTGTTTGGTCACAGCCGATACCCCCAAAGTCCCGCAGGTGGGAAACGGAGGGATAGGAGAAATCAGGGAAGAGAAGGTCAGCTCTCGGAGGTAGGGTCAAGTTTGGATAAGATCGACTGCTCCCAGCACCTCCCGAGACTGACAAAGTTTTTGGATGCGAGTTGAACAGGCAGCCAAAACGCGGGGCCGGGAGATGGGGTTTCTCCCCAGGCAGCTGTGGCAAATTAAGATAAGGGACGCCTCTGCCTCCTTTTTCCTATATATGGGCAAATTCCCAACCAAGGCCAACACTCGTTTGGGAGGGGTTCTGAAAACTTGGGTTGATTTTGACCTATAAACTCCGAAGAAAAAGCAACTCCTTGATTATCATGGGGCTGGAGGTCCTATAAGGAACTTCCGGTTTCCTACTAGGGCCCAGGTGGTTGTGTCCAGAGGTCCTGATGGGGACTAAGACCATCCCATTGAGAAATGGTATTGTCCCCGCTTCCAAGCCAGGGTTTTAGAGAAATTAAGGAAGTCCAAGGTTAAGCCCTTAAATTATGCTAAATTAGCCAATGTTTTACACACACAGAATGAGAGCCCAAGGGCCTTCCCGGAGAGGTCGAGGCAGGCTCTCATGAAATATATCGGCCCTGCCACCCCTAAGGCTGAGAACATTTTAAAGGACAAATTTGTCACTCACTCCATCAGCCCTAGATGGTCTGAAGAAATGCAAAACCTGGCTGTTGGCCTGGAAGGGACCCTGGAGAAGTTCTTATGAGACGCCAATTCTGGGGTAGATTACAACCAAGATTAAGACAAAAAACGGGAAAGGAGGCTTAAGCAAACTCTGAGGGCTTAGTGTGGCCTTAACGCACTATGTCAGACCAGGCCTCCTGAGGTCCTGGCCCCAAAAGCCACCCACTTACGTGG